GTACATTTGTTAGGCCAGGCTTCCAACGCTTACAAGAACACAGCCAAACACTTGAGACTTTGTTGGAAAAATGGAAGATATTAGTAAATGCAGACAAGACCCAAGCCATCCTGTTCACTGAAAAGAAAAAATTCAAGCAAAATCTAAAATTGTATGGTACATCTATTCCCTGAGGCAATCAGGGGCCTTTTCTCGGGGTGATCCTCATTAATTCTCTCACCCCACACATTACATCTATTATTAAGAAGTTTCGAGCACGTGAAACACAATTTTCCCCCTTAATTGCACGAAACAGCGTTCTATCTATTAACAACGAGCTACTCATTTACAAATCTATCTTGCGTCTAATATTATATTATGCATGCTTTGTATGGGCTTGGTGTTGTCGTACTAATAAAAAGGAACTCCAAACGGCACAGAACTGCGTTCTGCGCCAGATAACAGATTCGCCATGGTAGGTACGTAGCAATAGAATTCACCAAGAAGTGAAAGTCGAACGACTAAGAACCTGTTACTACCGGCTTGCCAAAAACTTCTATGAAAATCAAAAATTTATAGATAATCCTGTTAAAGTCTGGTGCTTGTTAATCCTGTTGAAATCTGGTGAAGGTGTTCAAACTGACCCTCTTTACAATAGATAATCCTGTTATCAAAATCTGTCACTACGACGTCAACAGCCCTCCGAACTGTTACAGACCAATGTCTATTCCTTCCAAACACGAATAATGATTAATTACTTTTGTAATTTTGTCTGCTAATTATGTATATTTCTCTTGTAACATGTATGCTCATATTTCACTTAAAGTCTCTGCATATCTACTTTCAACTCATATGATTATATACTGTAAGTTCACTCATGCCTTAATTTACTGTAAGTCTTGTCTCGTACCACCTTAATTGAAAACACCAAAGTTTTCGCGTCTTACTTGTTAATTATTGTTGCATGTTTTCTGCAATCACACCAGTTTGACGGCTTTCCAGCTCAACAGCTCTGTTACACCTCTTACTCTCAAAGTGCAATTTACTTATTATTTCAACTCACATATTATTTTTGCTAATTTATTTCTTTAAAAATAGTTATTATTTTGGATTAGCTTATGTTTTGGTATTGATTAGGAAAGTGCAACTCTATTCGATTAAGGGTAAGGTCTCGCACCTAAGTACCCTGGCGTATACACCGTTTCTCGGACGACGAAAGAGGAGAGGTAGTCATGCGGCTCAAGCCGGAGAGAAGTGGATGAGCTTCGGAGTTCATCGATTCTTTCGACTAGGCATTTGGATGTACGATGTTCAGAGCTCCTGTTAACTTCGTCTTTGAAAATGCTGTAATTTTTCCCCGCGTGCGTAATCAACTTTTGTAAAATAAATTTTAATGTTAATGCGAATAATGTGGCATTTCAACTTATGATGTTTTACCAATCATTTTGACATGGGCATAGTATAACTTCAGCTGCATTAACAAGTGACAAATATTTGAATAAATCAAATGAAAATCAGTTTTTCGACATTTATTTTCATTTTGATAGTGCAAGCAAAAGCAGTCATAATCAGCATTCAACAAAAGATGAACTTATAATTGCACATTTTGCAGGTAAATGAAACAAGAATTTAAATTTATTGGGTAACTATCCAGGAATAGAGTGACTTTTCCTTATATTACATTGCTTTCTTTAGTGTCGCTGAATGATTTCCTTCGTATGCAACGATTACAAATTGTCTAAAACAAATAGACTTTCAGATGCAATGTTCCAGAAACGTATGAATTTAAAGGCTAATCTGAATCATGATGAAAGAATCAATGTGAAAAATAAGACTGATAGTCAAAAATAAATACTTTTGCAATTTAGATGAATTGATTACCTACCAATGAAAGAAAAAATATAAATACCCAGATTAATAGATAGTATATGCATACACAGATTACATTATATAAATTAATAAACTTTACTTTCGAAATATTACTTGTAAGGTATTTATATAATGTGTAGTTTCCAACTGCAAATGTTTAGAACTTTCTTAGTAAATAATCAACGAATACATTTTAAAACATGATTTCCATTGTTATTTGAATGTAAGTATCAAGATCATGCTAAAGGATTTGTATAATAAAATTTAATACCGTCTTAACACATCTCTATGTTACGGAGTCAAACAAAGCACGCCTCGAGAAAAAAAAGGGAGACATAGCTATATTTCTCATTTTACTCCATCGATCAACTAAATTTAAACTATTTTACTTATGCTTTGACGATATGACTTCGGATATCTGGATGAATTTATGACACATAACATTGCGTTAACATAAATTTTTGACACAAACTGAGAGTAGTCTCTAATAATTTGAAAAGTTTGCACCTCGAAGAAGAGTTTATCATTAAAAACTTTAAAACATTAAAAATGTAAAATCTCATTAAAAATTCAAACGAACTGATTATGCATATATAAATTTAAATAAAATTAAGAGTATATTTAAAACCCACCCCGTATGCAACACGAAATAAACCATATGCAAAAAACAGAAGCACAACGGGAAACCACATGAAAGGGGCAAAACATACCAAAAACCAAAAATTTACACCTTTCGCGGTGTCTTCGTCAGAGGCTCGTGCAACGAAAGAAGTAAATAAATCAGCCTGTTTTTGAATTAACAAAAACATAAATTAAAGTTTAATGTTTAAAATGTAAGGAAAACAATCAAAATAATATGTGTCTTTATCAGTCTAACCTCTACAGGCCGAAGCAAGTAGTGTAAAAAATTGTATATCATAAACAAATTAAAACAAAATAATAAAAGAAACCGGAAATTTTCAGGTTTTAAATTACGTCCAAAGGGTTTTTTTTTAACGTTTTGAGTGTTACATTTATTTATTAAATATCATGTTCTTCGCACTTAAACCATAAAATTTAGTTCAACAGCAATATAGCAAAATAATTTTAGAATCAGCATATCTTTAGAATTTCCGACACACAGTCCCACGAGCTGGAGATAAAAAGGTCCCCCCCCCGTAGAGTGTTGCCATTGCTTGCTTTTAAATCGTTGAGTCTTTTAATCAAAATTTCGTTAAATGTTTTATAAAATAGATAATAAAACAAATTCCAAATTTGGGCTTCCAGATGCCCATATTGGGGTGGAAACATACGTTATTCAAAATTGGATGGCTCTAGGTACCGTTGTTTTATCACAGTGCGAGAAACTAGAAAATATGAAAAAAATAGATACATTTATGCAGATTCTTCATTATTTAATTTCTTTATATATAATACAGGGCGATAATATTTGGTGGCAACAATTTGAAAGGTGAATCGGATATTTATAGCGAACCAACGCAAAATGCCGAAAGGAAAATAATAATCCTTCAGGAACAAAGCACCTTTGGACTAATAAAAAGCTTAAAATATTATTTTGAGTAGACCGAGTACAAAAAGCAAAACATGTAAATACAAGCAATCCAATGCATGAAAAAGTAAGAAAAAGGAACATTTTGAAACCATACAGACCAAATTAATATTTTTAATAAAATTATATCATCAAAAGCATAAACAAACAAAAAATTATTTATTTAATAAATTATTTAAATAATATTTATAAAAACCTTATTTAAATGTAATAAATATTTCCTTCAAGTGGACCGAGTCCAAAATTTTCATTTCAAGTTCCCGAGTCCAAACAATATAAAATAGAATAATATAGATGAATATTAATCTCAAAAATATAAAATAAAAATAAAAACAGGAGCTCTTAAAATTTGTAACAATACAGCAATAAAAATTTTGAAATGAAAAAATATATTCGGCATATCCTGTAGCGAAATCTCTCTGTTGAAATTAGCTGGACTGTGAATTTCAAATTGATTATTAATAATAAAAATAATTAGAAAAAAGCATCTATTGTAACATTAAATATGGCGTATTAGAAATAAATAATTTGTGAAAGGAATAAACATCGAATTACCTGGATTATTAATCGTAAAAAAAAAAAAAAATTCAACAATTAACCACCATAAGTTCAAGTGACGCATTAGTTCTCTTCAGTTCGTAAGGTATTCTCTCCCTCCTTACAGCATGTCTTCGTAGTGTAACGGTAGCACACTCAGCACGTATTCGAGAAGTCCAGGTTCGAGTCTCCGCAAGAGCATTGCTCATCTTTCACTTATCCAGCTTCAAAAAAATCTAATACCTGTACAGTGGCGCCCAAACTAAAAGGTGGTGGACGATAATTCGTCACCACCAAGATTTGTCGATTGGGTTCCCTAATCCCTAGTCGCCTTTTAAAAGGGGAAGTATATAAGGTATTTTCTCTCTTCTAGCAGCATGCTTTCGTGGCATTCGAGAGGTCCAGGTTTGAATTCCGGCGAGGGCATTGCTCATCTTTCACTTCTCCTGCTTCAAAAAATCCTAATGGCTCTACAAGTTTACCTAATGGAAGAAGGTTTAGTGTTTAGTACCAAAGTGATTAATTTTTTTATATATTCAGCGATTGAGAAGTTGTAGTACTTAGGGTGAAAATATTTTTGGAAAAGTTAAAAAAAGAATTGTGAAGAAAACGTAAATAAATTAGAAGAAGCTAAATAATTATGATGAATTTAAGGCAGCGTCTAGTATACTGTGAACAGTCTTAGACAATGCAAATGAAGAATTTAGAGAAAAAAACGTTACAAAGTGTAGGTAATCTAAAAAATTAAAAAAGGGCAAAAAATGAACAATTGTATAAAGTATTACAGAATATAGAGCTCACTCAAGCGGCCTTTCTGGAGACTTAAAAACTGAAAAAGGACTATTTTGTTAATAAAAGGAATAGGTAATAATTAGAAAATCTAATCCAAATTAAAACTGATATAAGATTTTTGACAAAAATGCCTAATTAAACTGTGTTAAGAACATCTAAACTAAAAAAATAATTAAGAAAACTTAACCATTCCTTAATTCGCGAACTTCCTTACTTTATGTGCACAACATAGTTGTAAATATACATGTATCTTACTTTTGTACTTTTATTACAGGTGGTTCCAAGGATTTGACTGGGATGGACTAAGAAACAGGACATTAACACCACCGATAGTGCCAAAAGTATGTTTTAATTCAAGCATTTTAAATCTGTATTTCAAATACAAAAACTGGGCTTACATTCCGTGTTACATGTTTCTTGTAAAAAACCTGCTATTATTCGCTATCGTATAGTTTACATTTGCATATTATATACACCAGTGATAGAGAATCTTTGGCATCTAGGATATGTTAGTGTGTCGACGGTGCCACATTAAGACATCCGAAATAATACTTCAGCGTTCAACACTACCCATAAAAACTATTCTCTTTATTTGAGTTTAGATTGGCTTTCGTAGCCTTGTAAATGATAATCATGTTGTAATCTGTCATTTTATAATAGAACACAGATTACTTGAACTCCAGCAATACAAACAATTCCGCGTCTCAGGAGGAGTTCGTCAAGACTTTTAAAAGATTTAATTGTTTGAAATACCTCTTCGTCAGGTACAAGACATGAGGATGGAATGTCGTTTCCGGCCCAAAAACATTTACTTCAGAAGCGACTGGAATCAAAGATACATGAAACTATAACTCAGGCACAGGATGTATTCCTCCTTCTTTTAGAAAAGTGCAGTGAAATACTCTTCTGTTTCGAAATTATAAACCTTCATTTTGTTTGAATATTTCTCGATCCTGTAAAGGGCAACCTGTAAGTGTTTTTCGATTTATCTGATATCTGTGCCTTTGCAATTTATACAGATATCATCAATACACAAAGATCCCGAAACTATAGGAGGAACTTTCTTTGAAACAGAATTCATTTTAAGCTGAACGGTGCAACGCTTAGAACATAGCCTCTTCTTTTTCAGAGACATCTAAAATCACATAGCTAATTTTTACTTGAAAAGTTAGTCCATACCTCTACCTCATTTTGAGAAACTTTATAAATACAAGTGCTTATCTCTGTCTTTAAGATGAATATTTAAGGAGATGAAGATAATGGCTAACATATTCGATCATCTCGTTCAATGAGTAAAACATTTCGTAACGGATCCTATTTTTCAATAAATAAGTACATAAATAATTGCTACTTTAATTTTCTCAAGTGTAATCAACAGTGTTAAATGAGGACTTTTATGAGCTTTTTATACACACAATCTAAAAGTTTTGGCGTAACTATTATGAACAGAATATGAAATGAAAAAACTGAAAGGCCTTATTACATTCTAGAAATTAGGTAATTATAGAAATGTAAATTTTTTTTGAAAAATTACATGAAGCATTCATCACAAATCGTTTAAATTAGTATTCATCCTGTCATTCAAAACTTAATTGAATAATTTATCAGGACTTGTATTTCTCTTGATTTGCTTTGGAAACATGAATGGTATGCCCTGAATAAGAACAGGGAGCTTACTCAAGCTATCTTCAAGGATTTAGGTGTGATAACAGACGACACAAGCAGGAAGGGTATACGAAGCCCTTTATTTTCTATACTTTACAGGCCCTTCCGAACTTCGGAATACAGAGACCAACCAACTTGTGGTTCTGAACGTAAGAATATAAAAACTACTGACTAAAACACTAACTAAAAGCTAACTTTAAATTAGTATACAAATGCCTAGAACTAAGACTGGCCTTTATTTAAAAAGGGTACGTATGCAGTACGCCGAGCTGCTGAAACTACAGATACTTTTGCAAATTATCAAGAAGGCTAAACCTCTGGCCTTAAATGCAAACTGCAACCAGAGTGAAAACTCGTAAAACTACAGTGGCAAGCGGCTTGCTTCCTATAACTCCTTCTCTCTCTCTCTCTCTCTTGGCAAAAAACCGCAACTTAAGTACTTGGGCGTTAGCAAGACAATTTGCATAAACAAGTTAAAGCATTTAATTCTGGCCGGAAGTAGAAAATAAGAAGTGATAGTACAGTTTTAAAATAAAATAAACGTTAGTAAAACTTAGGATCCTTACAAATTAACTCGCTCCTGAAATATTAAAAGTAAAAAAGGGATTATTCTGTTTGTTATATTTTTATTGGCCATAAACGTTTATTAATCTTGTAAAAATAAAAGTGCATTAAATGAATGCAGACAATATGGTTTAAGTGCTGAACAATATGGTTTTATGGTTTAATTACAAATGTTTAAAACTCTTTTGTAGGAAATTTCTAGTACATTTTTATCCTTGGAATTAAAATCTTTTAGCATTTTCGTGAGTAGGTGGGGTGGCCACAGCACCACCCCAGACAATATTTAAAAATATTTCATATCTATGAGCATATATCGGCAACATCACATATTACTCTTTTCCCTACTTGTTGCTTATCACGAGGTAGGTAAAAGAAGCAGTTAATTTCCAGGATCAATTATTAAGCAGAAAATTGTTGGAGTGCTATCAACATCCCACCTATACACTTATTTGGCTTCGATATCAGTTTAGATTCAATTGTAAGCCTCTTGTTATATCTGAAAGATTGTTGTTTTTTTCCCTAAAAAGTCTTACGAAAAAGAAAAGGAGCGTCTTCGAAGGCTGTTTCAAGAGGGGAGTACTGAAGAAGAGAGTGAAACATCAAAGGTAACTGACTCAGAAGATGATGCATCTCATGAATACGAAGAAAGCGATCATCAGACAGACAGCGGGGAAACGGATTACGATGTAAGTGGCCTAAAAAATAAACATAGTTTTAAACGCGATAGAACTATAAAATGAGATAGAAGAGACAATTAGGTTCTACAGGATTCAGGACAAGAAAGCATGATTTTGTTATTTACAGGAAGCAAGTAGATTCCCAAATTAGATAAATGATCAAGAGAACGTTCTATCTTATGGATAATGAAACTATAAATCTGATCACTGATATATGAAATATTTATTAAAATAAACGCATAAATAAAAACAAATGTTATGACACGAATCCAAATGAAATTCAGGTGATGCGCTAAAACTCGAGTTACTACATTCAAAGATACATCTTGATAATTTTTTATTTTATGACAAGGTGGTGGCCCTAAGGTGACACTCATTGGTGATACTGTCGATAAACGTTAAAGAAACAGCTGGATAACTATCACCTACTAAAAAGACCTTCAAGTTCGTAGAGAATTATCAAAATTAATACAGTTTGACTTTGGTGACGATCGACAATTTGTATTGCCTAGTGATGTGTGCTTTCAAATAACGTTTTAGGAAATCTGCAAAATAAATGGGTTAAAATTCCAATTATCTACGATTATTTATACTAAAAAAGCTCTTTTCTACCACAAGCCGAAATATTATCACCTACAATTTTCATAAGTTTCTCTTTAGCAGAATAATTATTGAAGGAGAAAGTCTAAGACATTAGGAAATGCAAGGTAAAAAAATGTCCGAACTTTTTTCATAATTAATAAATATGAAATTTAGAAAAGAGAAAATAATTCTATTTTGCATTCTTCTAAGTTTTATGCACTTATAAATAAGAAAATAAAAGGAATGATTATTCTAACAGCAGTCTAACAGCATTGATGTCTGTGATATTAATTTTAACCGCATGAATTATGTGATACTAAAGAGCCAGAAATATTAATTTTCAATACGTTGATTGAATAAAGACACAGTCGATAAACCATATTTTGTATTCTTAGAATGAATATCGGGTATAAATTGCCTTTTTTAGAGTACTGGAATAAATTGAAATAGCATAAATTTTGTATAAAGTGAGTCAAATCTGATTTACGAAGATTAAATTTTTGTAAAAGAATCTGATTATGAGCTCATTTGGTTTTACGTTGATACAATTAGGAGAAATATTGAAAATAAAAAAACACAAGGATTACAGAAATTAAATAAAGACGATCTCAGCATATCAATAATTTGGAACATTATCGGAACAAGGTGCACATGAAAAGCTAATAAATAAAAGTATATGTTCTTTGTAGAAAATGCACTCATTGTCATAAAAATTTGCGCATTAAGATAGATTTTTTAAATTCAAATAGACTTTTACATGTGTGAGTGCAATGTTAGTTTAAGTAAGTCATTACAAAATCAAAGCAAAAGGATCGGTTATTACAGGAAATACTACGATGAATGGAAGTTCTACTACTATGATGACTGCATCTAATCTGAATTTACAGTATGCGATAGGGTCGGACATTAAGGCATGCAAGCACCGTATGGTAGCCTACGTCATATCATTCTACAGATGCTGCAAGCATAGCTCGAGTTAGACTAATCTCCTAGACTACCCAACTTGATATCCTACGTGATCTGAGACGTACTCTATCAATGACAAATCTCAGAATTGAGCTGGCAAAGAGAAAAGTGGTAATATGGCGAAAACATTCTTGTGTGATTCAATATTATCCTATTGAAAGATGCTTTCATGGAACCTTATCTTGAACGGAAACACATGTGGCTGAAGGATACCACGAAAGTACGGCTGATCTGCCTTGGTACTGTGGATCAGTATTAGTGGTGAAGGAGTGTCGTTTGCGATGGCCACCCGTAATATCACACTAGATGCGGGAATGATGTGCTGCTGTAATGCGAAGGCAAGATTAAAAATTTCACTACGGTACCTCCATAAACCTAAACTGAATCTCATTTCATCGTTGAAAACGACCTAGTTCACTGCGGTAGGGGTGCAATCCCGTTGAGCGTTATACTACTCCAAATGGAGTCGACGCTGAGTGGATGTCTTTAGCAGTATACCTAATGGGCGGCGCGGCCAGGTACCTCGGACTGGCATAGGCAGACATAGTGCCAGTGTTGTGATTCCTGCTGCCTGTGTCCGGATGGTGGATAATGACGCAGTTGGAGTTGAGTGTGCGTGTCAAGTAATGCGACATCCTCTCCGTTTTTGATTGGCTAAGGGTATTCTGAGTCTGGACGCCATAGTGGGTGTTTACATATTTTAGATCTTCTGCGAGACTTTGGGTATTCTTTATAGGGTTATTGCATTTCTGCTTTGCAACCATAGTGTATGTTACTTGCAACCATAGTGTATGATACCTTGGGAACCTTAGGATAAATCGAAATCAGACCTTTATAGTCTCCGAGCAATTAATGGTACTCATGCTGAAGTGTATGAATATTGCTGAATGCGTACAGGTTCGTAATGGATTGATTGCAAACGGAACCGTTGAGAGTTTGGTAAAATTTACCTTCACAAAGAAAATAATTTACAGTTTTGGAAATGTTCACAAAAGTACTCATACAGTGCTTCTCAGTATGACAGAGCGTAATCAGTAGTTACCACTTTAAACTACTGAGAAAGTGAAACGTCTCAGTCCAGAGCACGTCTAAAGAGCGAAGATCACATGGAGATCTGTCGTTACTGTGAACTCAACTAAAAGTATCAATTAGTTATGCAGTAAGAGGATTCTTGATAGTACTGTGATTATCTTGAACTTTAATTTGGTGGAGGGATCGAACTCCATCTTTAATTCCGAACAGGGGTATGTGCTCATGGGCATAATGCTGTTTTTTTGTGTTTTATAAATCAAATGAAAAATTGTATTTGCTTAGAAAGTCTAATCCGAGTATGCCAGGGTCTGTAATACTTGCTGCATATGCCATGCGATATAAGGCGGAACTTCCAAACGTAAAAACTGAGAACTGATACTTCTGTAGGCTTATATAGTTCCTTCCCTGGCCGCCGAGAAATTTCTAGTATTTTTCATTTCTCGAAATTACTGGAAGGCATATACGGTTAAAGTTACATATATAAGCGTCGGATACAGTTAAATTTAAGTTTAGGGATCAATTACAGTATCAATTTCAATTATACAGGGAGGGATCCAAAATGTCGTCAAACGATCGCTAAGTTTGGCGACTTCAGTCGATTTTTCGCCAAATTTAGTGACAAAAATTAGTCGCCAAAACAATCGCCAGATTGTCGATATCGCAAATTTAGTGAGATAACCATTTACTTCAATATTAAATGCACTTGGTTCTGTAGGCAGAGCTTTGTACCCCCTGACTTTTCATGTTACATTATACAAAAGATACTACAATTCACGTATAATTTCACTAAAATGATTTACGTGTATACAAAATTCGTAACAATATAAAATTGTTTGAAGAGCTAAATAAAATTCAATCAGTCTTTTTTTTCCTATCTCTTATTATGCATTACTTAAAACATACCTTTATTCGGTGAATAAATTATGGGCACCCTGTATATCGCTTATTCTGATCAACAGTTCGGTTAATATGATCTAACTATTATACAATGATTCTTTTAAAGCAAAGTAAGTTGCTAAATTAAAGGTAAATTCGCTAAATAAGGGTAAAATACGAGTAGATTATATTGTTACGTTTTTCTTACGTTAAGGGTTCGTGGATTTGGATTGAATAACGAGAAAAGCACTTGAAGAAGTATCGAAATACAATTTATTAGCCAGTATTGTTCAGGACAGCTCCAAAATCACGTTTACAGTCGCCGAAGAACTACTAAAACGCTCTGAAACAATCAGCGATACAGCCTTCAAACTATCAGGCTATAACGGTGAAGACAGCTTCATGGCAAATTACCAGAGTACAACTCCCAACTCTCCTCGGTCGTTCTCGGAACTCTACTTACGACTGTCCTCGCTATAACTAGCGATGCACTCGGCGATACACTACAGTACAAATCCCAACTCGGTTCGATCGTTCTCCGAGCTCAACACACTCTAAGATGAAACTCGACGATGCACTAACTCGCAATACACTAAGAGAGTCTCGATACATTCGACCACCAACTCGGCACGAGACTACGAGACGCTCGCTTACTGACTATTAACTGACTCGATTAGGCATTGACTTTATCGATACTTTGATACTGTTGGGTAGGCCTATGTGAGCAGGAACTTTATCCCGCCATTAGAGGCACCCCAGATACCCCGATTAGGGAAAACCTTACATGGGTAACCTCAGATGTGGTCACTGGTATGTGAAATGAATGTGTATAGTACAATGATACTGACCTGAGAGGTATTGTGCGAAGGGAAGCACTATGTAATGTAAGTGGATTGAACTCAATTGACGAAGTTACCAAGATAGTCGCCAAAATAGGTCACCAAGATAGGAGCCGAATCCAGGAGAGACAGGGTGTGATAAATGATTGGCTGGCGTCAATGACGTGGATAGTCCCCCTCACAAGTACTGACCGCCGCTAGTGCTGCTTGAAAAGAGGGAGGAAGTGAAAATTGACATAATTATTAAAATGGGAGATAAAATAGTTAAATGTTATGTGTAAAAATATGTGTTGCATAGGGACGTAGGTTAAAGTCTTCCTCTAGTAGCTCATCTTTGAAGTTATTAGCATAATTATCTGTGTCATTAGCGGTTGCCTTATTAAAGAAATTGTTATTGAGTCGTCCGATGAATGTTTTAATATCCTCAATTTTTAAGTCTTTATGTAGGTCAGAATTTCGTATAAACCATGGTTAATTTTTCTAAGGAAATTGTTCTGTAAGGTTTGTAGTTTGATGAAATCGGTGTTTAAAGCAGTGCACCAGACCGGAAAAACATAAATGAGAACCGGGCGAAGACTGGAGGTGTATATTCGCCGTTTTTCTTGCGAGATCAAGTACATATGTCGAAAGAACGATATTCTGTAGTTTCCTTGACATTCCGGTCGCTTTTCCAATGGCAGCAGAGACGTGCGGATTCCACGTGAAGGTGATATTAAATCTCACACCTAAATATGTCACGTTGGTGACCAACGGCACCTTTTCATTAAATAGTTTTAAGTCGACATCTATATTTTTCTGCGATGGCAACCGATGAGCAGTAATTGGGATTTTGAAGCTTTAATACAAGTTCTCCATTTTCTGCACTAGTGCTCAATTTCATGCATCCTGCCCTGGATT